GCTGTTGGTACTCTGGATCAGCTGGGTGTTGACTGTTGGGTTTGTAACCTTACAAAACAGAGTAGCCGATAGGCGCCATCGTAACTGGGCTGGTGCTCTCTCAATAGATCAATGACCGCTTGCCCGTAAGAAATACTCCGATTCTTCTGGTTATTTCCGTCAAGAGTTAATCGATATGTGTCATCTGCATATAGGGCCGTGCTAACCGAGAGCTCCTTATGCTTTACATAATCCAGGGCAAGATCGTTGATCATAATGCTGAAGAGGGTAGGGCTAATAACTGAGCCTTGCGGGGTTCCATTCTCTAAGGAGTGCTTCTCGCTGAGAGAATTGGCGACGTTCACTTGTATCTGGTGATCCCTTAAGAAGTCTTGGATCCACCTGAACATGCGACCCCGATGCCAAGTTTATTAAGTTTAAAAAGCAAACCATCAACCCAGACTAAGTCAAAGGCTTTGGATAGATCAAGGAATACTGCGCTGAAGTAGTTCTTCTTTCCGAGTTGGATTTCAGGAAATATCCTTGGTCACGGCACCAATATTTATATATATATATTACAAAACATAAAATGACGTAACGGCTTTGCAGGTTTGAAGAGCATTTATTCGGGAAGAACAACACCAGCGACATAAACATCAATACCGGTAAAACACAGGAACATTAATACAAATAAAATACAGGAACATTTAAACTCTATCATTACGAGACCAAATACACATTCATTTAAACAGCAACCAAGCGTCCTTTCTCATTTAACATTGAGATCCACTGTCATATCGGTCCCAAACAGCCATTACATCTGCCTGTTGATTTCTGTTCCGTTTTGACTACATTCTCTTTATCTTCTCTAATCCTATCCGCTTGTTTAGTCTCACACACATGTCTTCGAATAAAAGATCGTCTTCTGTGCCATCCATCGCGTTCGATATGCAACATTTCTTGAAACTGCCAATAATAATCTCAGCATCAAGTTCTTCTTTCGTTGTTTGATGATAAATTTCTGGAATTCCAACAACTTCTCTTCGTGGTCACTCAGTAGTTTCTGGGAAATGTTGGTTCTTCTTCTGTGTGAGAGGTGGTTACGGTTGAGGAGCTTATAACACCATGATGACGTAGCCCTGAAAGGGACTTTAACTTCAGCTGCTTATGGACCTTTAAGGCTTGAATATGATCTTCAGTGGAAGCCACAGGGAGGCCTTGTTTTCTTCGATCTTCAATCCAAGTCAGCACCTCAGCTTCAACCTCAGGGAAAAGGCCTTTCTTCCACGTAAGGCACACTTGGACTTGGGCATCTCTAGGAGACTACCCCGCTTACTGCGACAACTCCTAATATTGGACTCGTTGATATTGAATTCACGACCAGCTGCTCGATTGCAATGAGCCTCAGCAAATGCGATGACGTTCAATTTCTCCTTCGTGGTGTACGCAACGCCATGGCTCAAATCGATTTGGGGGGACCAGGGAACGTCCGAAATTCCCTTTCTTTTGATTATTTCAGGTTCACTTGCCCAGATGAACCTGAAGATTAGAGTGTTTAGTTGTTTGATTATATCTGGGGGTGGAGGTATTATTTTCAGTGTGTATTGGGTAAGTCTAACTAGGTATTTAAAGCCATCAGGCGCTCCCTAAAGGAGCTTCGTACTGTGAACAACTAATTAGCTCTCTCTCTAGTCTGGATTGGTGAAATTGGATTAGCGGATTACTGTCAAGTATCAATTAAGTATAACTCAATTAACTTTTGACACCTGCCACTAATTTGTGAGTTCGTTCCTTTTTATTCTTTTCTTTTATCTTTTCTTTGGGCGGCCGACAATTTCTTTGGCGGAAGAAATTCAAGCTGTCCTACAAAGCTTTCACTAGGTTTCGTTTTGTTTCGTTGTTCTCTTTTCATTTTCATACTATCAATTTTTGCACAGTCTGCAAGGCATTCTTGATAGCCATCTCTTATCTGTCTTATTGTATTGTATTTTGTATTTGTACTAATCAAACCTTCAATTTCAGTTAAAATGGCCTCTTCCCAACAAGCCACCAAGGTTAGCTATGCCGATATTGCGAGTCGGCCAGCTGCTACCATGCAACCCAGGGTAGCAAGGCCGGAATACTCCAATATCGTGATAGTGAAGCCAAGCGGGGGCAAAACTTTCGGCAGCACGAAGTCGAAGGTTATCGGCGACTTCATCCGTAAAGAGTGGAAGTATAGCTCTCTTCCGGAGGTCAAAGTCCTGGCTAACGGCAACGTGAGGTTGAATTTTGAGTTCCTGGCAGATGCGGTTTATGCTGCCAACCAAACCGGACTGTGTGGGATGAACGTGGACTCGGCCATGTCCACCTTCAACAAGACGGAACGGGTCGTCATTTATGGCGTCCCCTCCGAGTACTCTGAGGGTGAATTGCTGGAGGATCTTAAGCTCCACAATCACGCTGTAGAGGGTTTATACCTCTACAAACCTCGGGAGGGCAAGTCCGTTAGGACTATCCAACTAACCTTCGCAAGCGGGAAAGTACCTAATGGTCCTCTTCCCCTTCTATATTCTAGGTACCAGCTGCACCCTTACATCCCCAAGGTACGAAGATGCCAGAAGTTGGGTCATTTGGAGAAGCTCTGCCGCAGCAAAGTTTGCTGCGAAAAGTGTGGAGAGGGGCACAGCATCAAGCTGTGCAAATCCAAGAAGGTACGGTGCGTGAATTGTCGGAGTGATAACCACTCCAGCAACTCCGCACAGTGCCCTTCGTTCCTGTCCAGAAGAGCGGAGATAAGGATCCAGCACACCTACAAGGTATCCTCACAAGAAGCTCGCCATCACGTCTCGGCCAACACGGTGCCGGCTGCCCCCAAGCCCGTGGTCGAATGCCCCAAACCTGCCCCGGCTCAAACTCCGAAAGGGTTCACGCCGGAGTTTAAGGATGAGTCTAAATTTTTTGATTTCTGTTGCAGGTTGGTTGCAGTAGCAATCAGTTCCATAACCAAGGCTGGTAAAATTAATGCAAAAGACGTCATGGACGCAGTATCAAAAGTATGTGCCGACCACGTCACGAATCAACAACCACCAAATAAAGATACCAAACCAAAGAGGAAGAGATCCAGCACGGATGTTCCGAAGACTGACGTAAAGGGTCAATCAGTGGAAACGTCAAGAAAAGTAAAGGCGGAACCACGAGTGGCCAACCT